CAGATGGCCGCCCCTCCCTGAGCCTGGTTCTGCCGGAGGTTTCTTCCTGTTAAAAGGGAGTTTTTCCTTCCCACTGTTGCCAAAGTGCTTGCTTATAGGGGGTCATATGATTGTTGGTTTTTTTTCTCTGTATCCATGAAGCGCCTTGAGGCGACTTATGTTGTGATTTGGCGCTATATAAATAAAATTGAATTGAATTGAATTGAATTGAATGTGTTCCGCATGTGTTCAGCGTGTGTTCAGCATGTGTTCAGCATGTGTCCAGCATGTGTCCAGCGTGTGTTCAGCATGTGTTCAGCATGTGTCCAGCATGTGTTCAGCGTGTGTCCAGCATGTGTTCAGCGTGTGTCCAGCATGTGTTCAGCATGTGTTCAGCATGTGTTCAGCATGTGTCCAGCATGTGTTCAGCGTGTGTTTAGCGTGTGTTCAGCGTGTGTTCAGCATGTGTTCAGCGTGTGTTTAGCGTGTGTTTAGCGTGTGTTCAGCGTGTGTTCAGCTGAGGAGATTCAATGGCAACATTTAAAGTTTCTCCTGAGTTTAACTGAAAAACATTAGCTCACATTCAGTTTTGAAACAGTGATGAAAACTCTGTGTTTGCAGCCACAGACACAAGGCAGCTGGGACAATGACAATTGCATTTATTTTTTTCATGTTACAAACACCCCACAAGCTTGTGGGGATAGGTTAATTGGATGATCCAAATTGCCAATCCAAATTGCCACTAGGTGTGAATGTGCGAGTGAATGTGAGTGTGAATGGTTGTCTGTCCCTATGTGTTAGCCCTGCGACAGACTGGCGACCTGTCCAGGGTGTACCCCGCCTTTCGCCCTATGACAGCTGGGATAGGCTCCAGCGCCCCCCGCGACCCTGAAAAGTATAAGCGGAAGCGAATGGATGGATGGATGGATGGATGGATGTTACACTTTTTTTTTTCTTTTCCGGATGTTTGACTCTGAATGACGACTGAATATTTTTATAAAGGAAAAACTGTTTTACATGACTTTGGATACTAAACTAAAAAAAAAACCTGCAGTACTGTTTAAAGTATTTTGTTGTGTTTTGGGAATTAAAATGAGTGAAATGTGTCCAACTTACCTGTTACTTTCAATGTGGTGATGTCACTCCACTCTGTCCAGGAAGAGTTTCTTCTGCCCCGACAGCTGTATCCTCCACTGTCAGACTCAGCAGCGCTGCTGATTCTGTATTCATTGGATGTTGGAGGTGTGTTTACCTTAGCTGGTCTCCATTCATACGTCCACTGAGCTCCTTCATTTCCCTGAATCTCACATCTGACAGTGACTGTCTCACCGCTGTATATCTGAGTCCAGGGTGGCTGCAGGGTCACAGTGGGCTTAGGAGGAGCTGATCAAATAAAACATAGCATGAGTAGACTGATAATTTGACTTAAAAAATCAACAATAAAAGTTGTTTTTATACTTTTTAAATGTTTTATACATTTATGAACATATAATCCAGTACTTGTCAGTTAGCTGTTGTTTGCTAACAATGCTGTTAAACCTCCAGTGGTGGATTCAGAGCTGGAGATTTAAAGATAAACGCAGAAAACTGCTGCTATGAGTAAACATACGAGCAGTTTGAGAAAGGCTAACATAGCAGACCAGTCTCTCCTAAAATGAGGACAATCATTTATTATTGTTTTACACTGCTTTTGTTAGTATTTTGTTCTGTTTTTGGATGAATTGTGCAATACAAATAAAATAAGTGAGGAGATGCGTTTAACTTGTATCCCTGAATCTTATATCTGACAGTGACTTTCTCACCTCTGTATATCTGAGTCGTGGATGGTTGGAGGGTCACGGTGGGCTCAGGAGGAGCTGATCAAATAAAAATATATCATTACAAAACGATCCTGGTTTTATTGCTCTTGTTAATTGTAATTATATTTTTGTGTCCTGGTAAAAATTTGACTAAAAATCAACAATAAAAAGTTTAGTTTTTTACCAAACAGATTAAATGATATTTAGACTCTACCAGCAGAGTGACTGAACACAACCAGGTGTGCACAAATCTAAACTGTGACACTGAACATCGACGCATAAACACACAATATCATGTAAACAACCTCAGTTTTATAGTCAAATATCACACAATTTACTTATTTCCAGAGGTGGGAAGTAACGAAGTACAAATACTTTGTTACTGTACATAAGCTATCTGTACTTTACTTGAGTATTTATGTTGACATTGTGTTTTTCATAGTGTGAAGCATGCTGCAAAACAAACTGAGGTAGAATCACTGTGTTATTTAAGGCTGCATGAAAATCCTCTACAGATTAGTGCAGGATAAAGAGGTTAGTTTGCTGTACTGTGATGGATTTAAAGGAAAGACCAGTGTGTGACTGGTGCACAGTGACAGTCCAATATAAAGTCAGTATAAACAGTGTACTGTGAGTGTAGAGACGAGGACAACTCATGAAACGTCTGCTTACATCTGACTGAATTCATGTGGATAAATCTGTAAAGAGCAGCAAGTCAGTCGATCACAGCTCATACATTAAGAAAATCTACTGGAGCTCTCAATAGAAAATAGCCTGAGCAATTAAAAACTGATTTTAGGGTTTTCCACACGCTGAATCCCACTTTAAACTCTTGTCCATTCTCTTCCGCTTATCCTTATCAGGGTCGCAGGAGGCTATAGACTATCCCAGCTATCATAGAGCGAGAGGCAGGGTACACCCTGGACAGGTCGCCAGTCTGTTGCAGGGCTAAGACAGAGACACAGACAAACATTCACATTCACACTTATTTAAAATAATCAATTCACTTAACCCCACTAAGTGCATGTCTTTAGACTGTGGGAGGAAGCCGGAGTATCTGGTATTTCCTTTCATTTTTTCCATGTAGCTTTGTACAAGGATTTTGAGAACTCCAAGAGTTAATACAAAAGTGTACACTGAGGTAAGCAGCACACATGCCAATATCAGTGAAATACACTGCACTACTCACACAAATCATCATCTTCTTGTAAATCTGTACTGTAAACTGTTCAGATAAACATCCATGAAAAGAGAATTAGTCTGTATGAAGGCAGCACACTCTTAATATGATCATTTTAAACACTCTGTGTTCCTCCGACACTGCCTCATTTAAGTTTTGGACAAAATGGATTCTGGGATATTACATTTCGTCATTTCGAGCTGATTGGAGACCAGAACAGCCAATCAGATTTTTTTTGCATCCAAGTCTGTGATTGGCTGGTTTTGTGGCACAAATATAACGGTGTACAGAAAGAGTTGAGCGCGCACGGGCAGAAATGTTGAGAGCGCGAGCAACACATTGCGAGCGAGCGCAAGTGCAAAAACTGAGCGAGAGGGGCTGCTGTTGTGTGTGTGTGTGGATAACAGCAAACACTGAGATACATTTTTTGCACGTAGCAATGAATTTTGTTCACTCAAATTTAGTTTTTCTTCACTCAAAATAAATTTCTCCTAAAAATGCAACACAAGGTTTTTTTACGTGCGCTCAATCTTTTTTTTTGATCGGTCAGAATAGTGGCACAAAAATAACGCCATATAAAACCGACTGACAACTGATTCCATAAATATACAAGATGGTGATGAGGAAACACATGGAGAAGACAGCTGAGGGGAATAAACATAATGACACAATACAGGAAGCAAAACTGAACACAGGATGGGACACTGTCAAAGTAAAACAGGAAAGACTGAGACCTACACCTGAGACACACGGACTTGACAACAACAGTGATAAACAAACAGGGAGGCAATAGCAGAGACACAAGGACAGGAACAGATTTACAGTATTTAACTGTTTTTCTACGTGATGAAGAAAAAGCTGCTGTGAGAAAGAGAGAAACCTGTCGGCACCACCCTTTGACTTAAATTGTAAGAAACAAATGTGTAAAAATAGAAAGAAACTTCTGGCAGCTCATCATTATTATATCTATACTATATTTCTATAGTAGATGCTGAAAAATAGAAACATTTCTGTTTACCTGCACTTTAATCATTTGCTGTTTTACCTGTTTGGTAGTTGTTGAAATGGTTTGGCCTGTACCACTAAACTTGCTGTCTTCAGAACGTCTGCCCCCCTTCTTTCTTTCACATAATGGTATGATCCCAGCCTGTCTTTGCATGCGATTGGTGCGCCCATCAAAGCACGGATTCGTAGCAGGGCTGAAGATTCAGCTCCCACATACCGAGGGTCCATTAATAACTGGCTCGCAGGCCGGAAATAATTGTATCGAGGGCCGAATGTGGCCCGTGGACCGTAGGTTTGACACCCCTGATTTCGAGCATTGTAGGAGATAACAGCTACATATATGAACTGGAGTAAAAACAGTGTTTCTTACCTTCAGCGTTTCCACAGATGACTGTACTGAGCACTAAAATAATGAATAAAAACTCATCAGATATTTTACCTCAGAGTAAAGTTTTTTTTAAAGGCTTTACTCTGATTATTGATTATTGTAAATTTAGGGATGAACAATAATCACCAAAATTTCTCCTGTTTGCTAAACAAGCTCTAAGCAGTGACTCACTAATTCTCAGAGATCAGAAACATTTTAATTAATTGTGCCTTTCAAACAATGTCAGACGTGTACTTACAGAAAAAGCCCATCATGCAGAGCAAAGAGTGCCCCATCGTCACATCCAGCCTGCTGCACTCTGATCCTCAGATAATCACAAACAGTTTTACTTTGCAGAAAAAAAGAGAAGTTGTGTTTTGTTTGGGTGTGACAGAGTTTTTCTACAGGTTCTTCTTCTGATTGGTCTCTCTGTGCTTCCTTCCCTTTTGGACACAAAGCTCAAACAGCTCCTGTAGCTTTGACCGCAGCAGTTTTGTGACATGTTTTCCATCGCTTTAAGTCATATCTTACCAGGTCTTTTTTTACTCTGACAGCGTCCCCTGGATCATTATCATGCTGCAATGTTACTTGCATCATGATAAAGTCTTTTTAATGATTTTTTTATATTTTGATTCTTTATCGGAGGAATTATGTGGAAATTCTTCTTTCATGCTGCATAAAAACATCCAGAGATTTTATCTGACTCTTAGCTGAAACATCATCATGCAGTGCTATAATAAAAATGACCTTTGACCTCAGATCTGTGAATCTTTTCACCTTGTGGTTAAATTCTATGATTGGCTGACACTCAAACAGAGTAAATGACTCACTGTGTGGTTGAACTGAAACTAAAGACCTGTATGTTTCACAAATTAAATTAACAAAGACAGCAAATAAATGTATCTTCTATTGGCACATCAAAGTGAATGTTACATGTTACCAACAAAGACTATGTAATTCTCTCCAGAGTCACATGCAGACGAGGTGACCTTTACTAAAGCTTACTGAAGCTGATCATTTCAGGCCCCAATAGTAACAAATGAAGAAAACTGAGTTACAGATAACTGATCACTGGAACACAGAGACTCTGGGTCATCACAAAAACATCCATATGGTCTCTATCAAGGTCACAAAAGTTTCAACTTACAACATAAATGAGAATAACATCCTGTATGATTCGACAGAAGTTCAGTCTGTTTAGCTATGTGTAGACTGATATGTCAGATGATATTATGGTGTCCCTACAATACGAGTGATTAAACTCTTAAACATTATCAACACTTATTCATTATTTTCAGTTTTACTGTGGATTGTAATTATTTATTAAAAACTAAAAATCATTTGCCGAAGGTCAAAAACAGAGGAGAGATGTCAGGATGTTTTTGTTGTGTATCTAATGGCCTTTTAGTAATTATTCCTTAAATCATTTATTTTTATATTTTTACTCGTGTTGCCATAGTAACTCTAAACTTGAATGGATATTGAGTAAATACACAAAGCACTGAAACAAACCCCATGTTGCTTCATTGTGTTAAATATTTCAATTTGGTCATGACCAAACTTCCAGTTCCTCTTTACACATCCTGAGGTTTGATAGCAAGAATAAGACATTATCACATAGCACAGAGCCAAAGTGTTTTCAGGAGACATTGAGATTCATTCTGTGGGCTGATGGAGAAAAACATGAGATCACTGAGGGTTTTTAAGTGCAGAGAAGCCTGCAGCTGCGTGCAAACTTTCATTCATACTTCACAGAAATACTGACACAGGGTGAAGGGTTTTAGAACGGTGGGTTGATGCAGGTTTGTGCATGTGCCCAGAGCCCTGGGGCTCTGTCCTCAGCTCGTACTGGGGTGGCCAACCTCTGACAGGATCAGCTGCCGGTTGGTTTTTAGGTGATCTTTCTTTTTGGCTCCTTGTTGCTTCTGCTGGTGTGGACACGTGTTTGTTTTTGGGTCTCCTGGATCTTTCTCTGTTTTCTCTGTTGTGTGTCTGTGAAGGTTCTCAGTCATCCAGGTCATCATAGTCAAAGGAGCTTGCAAAGAAAAGCGTCTGGACTTCTTTAAGTTGCTTGAAGACGTTTCACCTCTCATCTGAGAAGCTTCTTCAGTTCTAAGGTCAAATGGTGGAGAGTCCCACCATTTGACTCTCTGTTGTGGTTTTGCACCCTCATGATCACGTATGTTTTATCTCGCGCACACACACACACACACACACACACACACACACACATACATGAGGTCATTGATGTTTGTTTAAGTGCAGAGATGGTGCAGATAGACTTGCAGCTATTTGCAAACTTGCGGTTTCAAAAATGTTAACACAATATTTTCCATCAGCCACGTCTCTTTAAAAAGTGATCCTTCCTGTCATGGTCTGATCTAAAGGTCCGAGTTTAAAACACCAGTAAATACTTTGTGCAAATAATTGTGGTCTCAGTCACTGCAGTTTCAAATCTTACTGCATGTTAATTTAGTAAAACAAGCTCCTCATTAAAGTCAAAAAGGACAAGAAAGCACTTGATTAGAAAGCTCCTTCCTTGTATATGCTGACGTAAAACAAAATATCAGCTACACAAAATACTGCTGTCTGAAACATGCTGCATTTCCTCTTTCCTGCATGGCACAGATAAAAATGAGGCCTTTCAATAGATTAAAAATAAAATGTGGCAGAACATAGAGTATCCTTAATTTCATTGTACATGTACGATGAGAATAAAGGGCTATTCTATTGGCAGTGTGAAGAGGGAAGGAATGAGGATTTGACCCAAAATGCAGACTCTTAGAAAAGGTTAACTTAAACCCAGCTGTATTGCTGGAATACAAAAAAAATGCAAAACTACAAAAAAATTATTTGAAACTAAACGGCAGGCAGAACACACAGCTGTACGATGAGGGAGACCGCGATGCAGGACAGAGAGAGATGCAGGCATAAATACACACAAGAACAAACAAGGGAACAAACCACAGGAGGGAATCGTAGCTAAGAGGAGCTAAGGAAGCACAGCTGGACACAATTTAAACTGAACATGATGCACAAAGCACAAGTGACTATGAAAGTAAAACAGGAAGTGTGCAAAACGCACATTGAGACACAGGCTGTGTCCAAATTCAGGGGTAGCATTCGTCGATGGCTGCATTTGTAGGCAATTACGTCACAGCGACGCGACGAAGGCTGTCCAAATTTGAAGAGTCCTCCAAATGCGGCGGCAAATGCATCCTTCATTTCCCCAGATTTGAAGGATGTGTTGGCTGTATCGTTCGTGGCCCACCATATCCCAGGATTCATTTTGGATTTCAGGATTTCAGTTTGACATGTTTTAGGGAACAAAGACCAAATGGCTTAATTTCTTAAAATGAGAGGAGAAAACGATCACCTCTTCACTGGGGTGAAGAATTCGGCCACTGTGGCATGGAGGTACAAGAATAAATCAATTTGCACATCATATTCATATGAGTATGGTTTTATTAACCCTCATACTGTACAGAACCGGTGATGTCCAGACGGTATTCCTCTTGTGTTCTGCTGTGAAAACTTTAGGGATTAACATACTTGCCATGTTTTTCTCTCTTCTCTTATTTTTTGTGTGTGATCAGGACAATTCTGGAGAAGATAGGCGTGCAGGGGAAAGTCACCCGCATGCAGGCTAGAAGAAATGGGATAACTGAAGGGTGGCTGGCCTCTCCCTTAGAGATAGGGTGAGAAGTTCATCCATTTGGGAGGGGCTCTGAGTAGAGCCGCTGCTGCTCCACATCGAAAGGAGCCAGTTGAGGTGGTTCGGGCATCTGACAAGGATGCCTCCTGGGCGAGGTTTTCCGGGCATGTCCCACCGGGAGGAGGCCCCGGGGCAGACCCAGGACACGCTGGAGAGATTATATCTCTCGGCTGGCCTGGGAACGCCTTGGTGTTCCCC